CTGCAGCAGGAAAAGTAATCTCCGCAGCAAACTCAAAGCCAATGGGTAAGTAACCAGTCATGAAGAACCTAATGCATTAGTTAAAGAAGTGAGCGTTGGAGGATGACCTTAAAAGGAAACTCACCCAAGTAAGAACGCATTCACAAATACCACTGCAATAGAGCCGAGGTCTAGGGTGAATGTGAAGCTGAGCATACCGAAGAAAGAAAACAAGTAGTCAAGAACAGTGGTCAGCCTGTAGATTCCAACTTTTGTCAAAGATGAGTAAGTAAACAAAAGCGCACTTGAATTTTTTGAATCTATCCAATAAAAAGCCTCCCACGACGGATCCGAGCATCCCAGCCACAACTATCGTCACTCCAATTTGTCCAATTGCTTCAGACTCTGTCGGATAGAAGGGAAGTACCATTTGTGCCAACAATGTCGAAACTGCGTAGAAGACTCCAGTGTTTATACCTGCAATGAATAATAAAAATAAGAAGGATGTCGGTAACACGACGAGTTTTACATTGAAACTATGGAACACCACCAATTTTGTGTTTTTTACAAGAGAAGGTTAGGCATTCAAGAAGCAGTTTCCGATAGGATTTTGTTGAGCCTGTTCAAAACATAGATGTTCAAGAAATTGTTCTCATGATCAGCATTTTCCACGGCAATATGCTTCGAATACTCCACAAATTAATGAGAACTCCTAAAGACGAGATATACTTTTGATTGAAAGTACTCGATAGGCTTTTTGTTGTACAAAACATTCATATATTGATCTTATTGACAAGCCAAACAAATAAATAAAGTGTTCTTCCAGACACCATGGGTATTTTATTGATTCCTCTATGTTTTACTTGATAGGAAATAAACCTGATATGCAAAGATCACTTTTTATGTTGAGTTTGTCATATTTTCCTTAGTGTGCCCGCTAATCGATGCTTTAAAAGGCAGGTTTTATGTTTGCCATTTTCAGAGACAAGGTTTTGCTCATCAAATTATAGATTATCTAGCCTCATGTAACCCCAATTGTGAGTTTAGAAACACCACTGTAGAATTCTTTAAAAAATGATGCTTGTTTTCTTCGTTGCCTCACGAACAACAACGAAATTGTTTCGTTAGCTCGTTTCGAGTGTTTATTCGCATTTAATTGCGCTACTGCACCACATCTGCTGTTACACACATGACATGCGCTAGCTTACTATGAACATATAACTTTTAAACTTACCATAGGTAATGAAAAGAAGAATGAAGTTTCTGCTAGTTACGAGTTTGGCAAGGGTTCTCCAAAAATTGCTGTCAATTGTCTTTTCTTCTTGTGCAGTAATTTGGGCAAGACTTGGCGGAGTTGGAGGCCGTGCAGAAAAAACTTAAATCCCAAATTTAGACAGCGACAATGCTGAGATGAAAAGATGAACTGACAGCAGATAATAACCGCAAGGATGATAGAGTTCAGGACCGCGGAGCAGAGAAAGAGCTTATT